GCTCTGGAACTCTCTGCCCAAGGATATCAGAAAGTCACCTTCTCTAAACTCTTTCAAATCCAGACTCAAAACCTTCTTCTTTAGAAGAGCCTTTACTTAACTAGTTCCGTTCTTTACCCCTCTGCTCCTACTTTTCTTAGTAGCACCATCCACGGTCTCCTCTGTATATTGTAATTGTGTTTTATCTTGTGTATTCTTTTATTTTATTTATTGTTGTTCTCATTCTGTAAAGTGCTTTGAGAAGCCACCTTTAAAGGCACTATATAAAGTAAAGTTTATTATTATTATATTATATGTTGCTTCTTTGTTACATTATTATAACAAATTATTCTGTAATGAACATGCATTTCACTGTTGATGATACTCAAAGATACCCTCAGACCAAATCAGATACTACTTCTGCATTTTGTGCCCTTTATGGGATGAAAATGTGGATGGAAAACAGAACTTCCTTAAGCTAAATGCTGTCCATACTTAAGCCTATGCTCACAGACTTCCAACATCAGCTTTACAAAGTTGGTGATTTCAGTGGTGCTTTTGTATAAGTCAGATTCTTCATGGAAGCCAGAAATCTTGATATTCCATTTGACGCTGTGTTGTCATTTTAAGCACATTAGGAACATCACAAAGTGTACAGGATCTTTCTTTTTGTCAGGTCAGACATACCTTAATTCTGGTTTGACGCTGTGACAAAGTAGAGTTGAGTTGCATAAAGCCCAGGAACAAGGTCACTGTATGTTAGAGGGTAGAGAATTATGAAACTGCACAATTTAAACAATAGAAGGCCTTGCGAAGTACACAATAGAATAAGGAGGATACAATTTCCTCAATGTGGCAGATGATTTTGTCAAGTTAAATTGGGGTTGTAGTGACCACAGAGCTGCCACTTGAGGTCACCAAAGAGATGGTCAAAGAGTTTTCTTGTAAATAATGTTATGTTAATTTTCTGAAATGTGGGGATGTGCACCTAGGTGTGTGTTTGTATATACAAGGTGCCTTTGGCTCACTTGGTTGTCAGTAGATTGGTTGAGGTAAGAAGTGATTTCGTTTATTTTGTAACACTATTTGTTCATATCTGTTTCTAACCCAGGAAACCATATTATGTGGGCTGGCTCTGCAGACCAGCTCTTTGTAAGTCTAACATGATGTTTTCACTTGAGGAGCTTTTTTCTTGTTTTGTTTTGCTTGAATGTTTACTTAAAGCTAGGTTTCAGCATTGACTTTTATTTCATATATTGAGTGTGGAGTGTTTTCATGTGTGAAGGTCCTCAGTGGCCATCCTGAAGCAGGGATCTTCTACGCTTGCAAATTTATCATGTTAATGTGTTATAGGAAGGGTTTCTTTTGTGTACACTAAAAGCCCTCCATTTGTAAAACATGTAGAGTTTCAGCCTTTATTGAGTCCTTGACTAAATTATTAGATTTTAATGAAAGCAATTGGTTTGACGCATTAGCTTGAGTGGAGAGAAATCCGGTGGCTTTTAAGCACTAGAGGGTGATACCTTTGATTTGAGAGTAAACCTAAAAATTTTATTAAAACATTTTAGAATATTAAAGTTAATTTTTTTTACAGTTTAGCAAAAGTAATTTTGATCCATGTATTTTGATGCATCAGAATAGTTTTTGAGAAATAACAAATTCATTAATTTCTTTAAAAAAAAGTTTTCCTATCAAAATACTTTGCACAAAAGCAGTTTTGTATTTTTTTTACAATGTGGTTTTGTTGTGTTTTCTTAATTGTAATTCTTTAAACACTTTGTAATGCATCTCCTTAATCCTGCTATTTTTTCCCAGTTTTCCCCTCTGAACTTTACCAATCCTGGCCTCCTAATATTCCCCATCTATGATTTGGCTTCATTTCTCTCTTCTCCTACCCACAGATGTGTGGTGAGGGTACTGGTGCACTTTGGCAGCCATTTGCCATCCAGGTGTAAGCTACACATTGGTGGTGGAGGGGAGGAGTGTCCCTATTACCTGTAAAGCGCTTTGAGTTAGGTGTCCAGAAAAGCACTACAGAACATTAAGGATTATTCTGCTGTTAGAACAGGACCTTTAGATTCCAGTATTGCACTGGTGAAACTTAACTTGCCTCTAAATAAAAAACAAAAAGAAAAAAAATTACATCTGCTACAGTACATCAACAGAACTTAGGTTTGTTCCTCACTGTGACAAAGAGATAGAGAAGGGGTACCTGCTGGGGTAGTTAGCTGCTCACAACAGGAAAGCCAGTGAAGGTGATGAAAAAGAGGAAAATCTTCAAGTAAGGTTGAGGGAGCGTGCTACTGTGGTTTCTCACAGATTCACAAAGCTTAAACTTCAGCCTTATGATTCATATCCTGCAGACACTCTTGTTTTACTGCAGCTCCATATCAGGCTACCCCCCCCGCTGCCCCTTTGCCTGTCTCTCCCCCCCTTCCCAGCAGAAAGTGATTGAGAGAGAGGTCTGAGAGAAGGAGGAGGTTGGAAAAAGAGCCATTAGTGACAAATCTATTTTTGAAAAAAACAAAATCACATCATCAAGCAAAAGAAGGAAAAACACAATCTCATGGCCGGGGGGTTTACTGGAGAAATGATAGCCAGCAATGGCATTTATCTTTATCAGCCTGGCCCTTGGGACAAGGGAAATGCACATAAACTTAACTCTTTCCCCCCTTGCCAGACACACAAGACAGAGAATAAAAGGGATTTATATCAGACTGATGTGAAAATATCATATCAGTTGTGAGAGGCAGAGCTAAGTCTCTGATAGGCAGATTGGAAGTCAGTTGCTAATATAGTTACTAATTTCATATAGTAATAATCTGCAACCACAACTTCACCTTTCTTGTGGTTGCCAATTGCAGCTGAGTTTAATTGTCAAAAAGGGGTAACTGTTAATGAAATTCATAGCAATTCATATGAGTATTTGTGTGGTTTGTATTGGTATTTGCCATGACAAAAGCTGTCCATGTTTTTTAGATATGCTGATGCTTTTCCTAATTTTATAGATCTAGATTATGTTAAATTTGTGAAATTTGCAGATAACTGAAAACTGAAGGAGTAGTAAGTACTATAGTAAAAGGTTTAGAGACATTATACTGGAGAAAACACCTAAAAAGGTGACACAATAAAACAAGTGCACAGTAGTATATGCAGGTGAACTGTAAATATAGGACTGGGTAAGCTGATCTTGAAGAAACTACCACTGAAAATATCCAGGTTCATATACAGACATTAGTTTGATCCACTAAACAAGGAGAATAAAAAAACTAACTTTTAGGATATAATGGTTATCATGAGAAAATTAAAAGCATATGATTCATATCAAACAGTTATAATGCTGTGTACAAATGAAAATAAAAAACACAAATATATCAACAAAGTCAAACGAATGGATCACTAGAGAAACTTTAAATAGAGGACACAAGTGGAAAATAAGGGGAAATGCATACAAGACAAGAAAAGGGTACAGTTCTTTACAAAAATGGTTGTGAGAGCTTGGCACAAGCTATATAGCACTTTAATGATCCTTGACGAATAAAGTGTATTTATATTTCAAATTTTTAATGATGTATTTTCTAATAACCTAAATATAAATGTGTTCCTCACTCAGCAGTGTCATTATTTAATCTGTTCATATTTCTGCACTATTGAATACCTAAAAAGTATGTAGCAATACATGAGTTGATAATGCTTTTAATTTCCCCATTTCATTTTCATTTCTCAACAAAGGAAAGAAATTGTTTTAAAACGTCAAAATAAATTTAATATTTTGGCAAATACATTTTAATGCAGTTATTATACTCTGGTATTCTGAAATAATTCAGTTCATGTTAAATTTATTTAAACTTGTGCTCCTTGCTGAGAAATCCCTCTTGTAACAATAGAACTCTTTTTAAAATCAAATAATGTTGATGACAGTCATTATTTAAATACTGCTTATGTTCTGAAACCTCTGGCTCTCTTATATTCTAAGAGAGAATAATCAAAAACGATAATTGTGAAAATATTCTAGTTACACTACTGTCGTATTTCTTCTTTGCAGTAACAATTCCTACTGAAAGTGAAATAAGTACCAGTTTCATTTTGAGATAAAAAAGTGCTATTCTTTTTCAACAGCACATATTGGCCTCATCTGGCTTAGTAATATAAAGTGAATTTTCTTTCCAGTCTTTGCTTGGATTTTATAGATGTTTACCAACATTGATCATCTTGAGTCTTACTTTTTTTTCAATTACCTCTTTGTTTGTGGTGCTGTTTTGGAGGCCTGTTTGTTTTAGAAAACCTGGGTCTACTGTAGCATGCACTTTAAAGCCCCAGGGAGAATGGGAGTCTTAATGTTCTTTTGTTTCACTGTCCCATTGTTTTGGCAGTTTCATTTTGTTAATCTGTCATCACCCTTGTGGTTTAATCTTTTTCTCTTCCGGACTAGTTTCCCTAGGTATGTGCTTGCCACCATAAAAAATTGCTATTACCTGACCACTTTTCCGTCTGTACTGTACGTGATAAATTATGCTAACTTAATTGTGTTGAAAACAAAACGTCTCTATTTAGCTATGGTTAATTAACACTATAACATTGATAGCAAATGAATACAAAGTTATTTGCTAAACAAGTATAACAGTTTATAGCTGAGCTAAATCCACTAGTGTGTTAAACATTATCCTCTTCTATTTCAGAATTGTATGACCGTATCTGATTACATGTGTTACACAGCAGATTCGTAATGCACTGCAAAAGAGCAATTTTAATCCTGAATAAGCATTTCGAATCATTTGTGGTTATATGGGAAGAACTTGCACAGCTGGGGAAATGTGCTGTAGTTTACAGTGGTCTTAAAAATAACAACAAACTTTTACTGATGCATAAAAGTCTGGTTAACATATTTGTTTCATTGTCTGTAGATTACAATTCGGCACAATGATTAAATACAAAAAAATGTGATGTTGAAAATAGCTGAGTGAAGTGCTATCATTCTGTGTTTGACTTCCATGGCAACCTTTCTCTTTTCTCTACCATAGCAGGACTAAACAAGGGATTCCCACCAGTGGCTCTGTGGGTGACTGTGGGCCTGGCAGTCTGCCTTTTTGGACTGCTCATCGCCTTGGCTTATATTGGCAAGAAGAAGATCAATGAAAGCTGCAAGGAAGGAGAAGCAGGTAAAGTAATGGAGGAAACTAATGGATATTTTGGGATAAGGCAAAGCAGAAGCACCAGAAATGTTAAATGCTGAACAGAAACGATGGTTTTTAGACATGTTTTTTTAGGACATTCGTGATTTATTTCCAATTCTGTCTCTGTGTTGGTAGAATATATTTCTTCAGTTTCACCACCAGTGCCCTTATGCTGCTGATAAAATGTAGTTAGACCGCTTCTTATCATATGCTCACTTCACTTTGCTGCCTCTAACATTGTGGGTATTACATTAAATCAGGTAGAGTAATTTTGTACAAGAGGATTGATTGTATGTTTATTTAATATAAAAATAGGTCTGATTATGTTTTTTTATCAATTCAAATCCATATTTAAATACTCAATTCTTTCAGTATGGATCCACAATTAAATTACTTCAGCAAACAGCAGCACTTCAAGATACAAACCCAATCAGAGTACTGTATTATTCTGACTACACCTGGTTCTGTGATTTCATTAAAATACAGCTCCTTGTGAAAAGACTGACGTATGTGTGGAATTCCTATCAAGCAACGTAAAAAAAAAAAGATTCTTTGTCTTGTAATTGTCACTGAAAGAAATGAATCTTGACTTTATCTGAATTAGATTTACTAACTTCTATTCGTCTTGCCGACATCCTTCTTTCTTTGAATGTTTAGCTTGGGTGAACACGCTGCCGCAGGACCTCATATCTCTTACTCTGCCTGATTGGCGAATGGTTCATGAGTGTCGTCCTCATTAGCAAGCACTGTAGTACTCTTGCCCCTTTAAGCCTTTCAATTATTTCAGGCTTCTTCTCCAGACTTAATAAGATGTGCTGTATCATCATATTACATAGTAGCAGGGTTAGTTGAGGAAAATTGGAATCAAGAGTGTAAATCATCAAAGCCAGGTACAAAAAAGATTTTGAACAGAATGCTTTTTTTATATATTCATCCTCATGATTAAGTATGTGTTTTTAAATACAGTGGATACATGTATCTTGAATATCCATATTTATCCTATAGGACAAAAAACTGCATATGATAATCTGAAAAAAAGTAGGGACTGTAAAATGAGTTACTGACTGGTAAAATAAAAAAACTAAGTGTACTTTGTATGCTGACAGTGTATCGGGGTAGGTTTTGCTGCAGTATGATAGTTTTTAAAGTTTCTATGTCATAATTAACTGCATAGAATGACTTTGGATGGTGGTGATGGTATGGGGGTCTACTTTTAAAACAGATGGCTAGCTCAAAGCTGAAAGGATGCTGTGAAAGCTAGCAGTGTTGTAATGAGGTAACCTCAGTGTAGGAAAGACATTTAATTAAAGGTCAGATGTTCAGTGTTGAGCACCCAGAGATTTTTAAATAAATCCAGAATCTTAAGAGATGCAAAGTCTTAACTCAGTTCTCAAACTATAAATTGAAAATGAAAGCTGTTTAAAACTAATCTACTGTAGTAAGTATGTCACTGTAGGAACTCTGGTGTTTAGTTTGTCTTTCTGAAAATGGAGTAAATATAGAAATGTAATTCTTGCTGTGGCAAAAAATAATATGGACAAAAGTGTGGGTGGGATGTTTAATAATTGAGATGACTGATTAAAAATGACCCTGGTTAAAAAACAAGGTGAATGCCACTTCACAAACCATATTTCTCAGATATAGAAATGTTTCCATACTGGGTGATCCGCAATAAAAAAATTATACTCAAGTGATAACCAAACTAAACTCATTTGTATGACAATAAAATAGATACAATAAAAGAGATAGTCTGTTCGGATTTAGAATATGTAGGTCTTTCTTAACTAAATTCTTAGACTAAAAAAAATAATTAATACATTATATATGTATATAAAATATATACTGTAATATACTGTATATATATGTACAATATTTTCCCAGACGTGTGATAAACATACTCAAAAAAGATTAATTCTAAAAACACACAGTGGGTGTTCTGGGTAATGCATATACTTGGATTTAGAATTGGTTAGTAGATGCTGTAGCAAACAAGGTTCAGAAAAAGAGGTAGTGAAATTGGAGTGACTTAATATAGAAATGACAGGTTTAGCAAACACTGCTAAACATAATTAGCCGTAATTAAGGACTTACAACACCTTGTTGATGACTTTTAATGCGGATAAGTACAGGGTGTTGCATGTAAATAGCAAATATAAACAAGAAATACACTAAGAGGCATTAAAACTACTACAAATGATATCGGCTGCAGTGCTCATTTGTTTTGTTTTTAATGGCTCTCAGTATATAACAACAGAAACACTGAGCTTGAAAAACAATGAACAATGCACGAATAAGATCATGTTTAGAATAGTGTATAATAACAATAATAATGATGTGTTAATGATACAAAAAGCATTGCTGCTCTGGAAATAGTCCAGATAAATAAATGGGAAGTCTTCCACTAACAAGCTAAAAGACCTGTTTTCAAGTATTCAATTTCTCAAAGGCATTTACAAAGTCAACCTAATAAACTACTTCAAAATCAGCTATGAAAAACAAACCATGTGGAAATAATGGGGAAGTGCATTTAAAACTGAGAACAGAAGGTACTTTTTTTACACAAACCATTGTGGGAGTATGAAATAAGTTATTCAAATAAATATGTTGAAGTTGATATCCCATCTTTTTTATTAAATTGATCCTTAAATTAGTTACTCATCGAGCTAGATGGACAGAATGACTGTTGTTGATTATACTGTTATATTCTTCTGATCTTATGACTGAAGGAATTAATCAAATGAGATCTCTTGGAAAAACCTCATAAACCTCAAGGAAAGACCAACAGATTTCAACGAATGCAAATAGCAAAGGGCCGGTATTACGTGAGATGCTCTGAAATACACTGTCACTGACTGTGAAGTGGCACTAATTCGTAAGACTGTCTAGTTAAGAATGAAATCCACAAGCAACTCAAAGAGAGAAGATTACTGAGTCAAGGCACAAGTTCAAAGCTGATCCATGGTATGAAGAACACATGGAAGAAAGACAAGGCATAGATCATCCATCATTATCATCTACAATTATCATGGCTGAAAATTAAAGAAAGTGTCTCTTTCAGCAATGACAAGCCATCTGTATTCAAGGTTTGAAAATTTAGGAATTTAGAGTCAGTCTTTTCTAGTCGGTCAGTCAGTCTCAGCAAAAACTAACTCTAGAAGAATTTGGAGATGAAAGGAGAGAGAGAAGGTGTTGACAATTGGAAGAAGCATTTGGAAGATATCAATGTCTTCTGTCAATGGTTCTCTGAATTTTTTCCTGAAACAAATAGTTAGAAAGAATGGGATCCTGATAACTCTTGATGAAGCAAAAAAAAATAACAATAAGGCAGCACAAGGTGATGACAACCCTCCTAAATTTTTCTAGCGGTGGGGAGTGAAACTGTTATCACAGCTCTGCATTTACTTAATAATGCAGAATTTGAATGGATGTTTTAGTATTAAAATTATGCAAATGTTTTATATAAATATAATATAGCCTATTTTACATCATTGTGCATTGATTCACAAAATAGCTTATCAAATTGTTTGCTGCTTTAATGAAGCTTTAGATACAAGATAAATGGATGAAGACATCACAACACTAAGAACTGACAAGACTAAATAATGTAACCAAACAGTAAACATTTCTTTCTGTGAATTGTATGAAATTTGAAGAATTTACAGTATAACACTTCAATTGAATTGAACACCATAAGCTTAAACTGGTTATAATCCTTCTAGCAGCGAGGCAGCATCCGAATAGAGAAAGAGTCTCTTCCAGCTATGACAAGCCATCTGGATTTATGGTCTGAAAATTTAGAGTTAGTATTTCCCTGAACATAACCTGCAAAATTGTGTCAGAAACCGATTTTTCATCTCTTCTGATGTAGGTGTCATTTGCTTCATGATACATTTTCTTTGCTCAAAGTATATAGAGATGTTGTTTTGATAAAAATAAATATAAAATGTCAGTTGGTTTACCAAGAAAGGCATAGCTATAACAAATAGAGAAGTGCAACCTAATTTAAGCTGTCTTATCTTTTAATGGAGTTCATTGGGACAGACAGATTGAAGTAGACTTTTAGCGCTCAAAGCTTATGTGGTACGGGAATAAAGCTGAAAACTAGTCTAGAGTGAGGTAACTCATTTTTCCTGTTATAATTTGTTTCCAATGGAGTATCTGTCTATCTAAAGTGACTCAACATTGGGTAGAATGATACAGGAACCAAATATTTGTGATTGAAAAATTGTAGTCTCTTAGCTCACCTTTTAACTCTGGAGTCTTCACTGTTTTCAGTTTATTGAGGTAACCAGAAGTTTACGGATTAAGGGACTTTGAATGGCCTTTTAATGTCTTACTATACGTGCCTGAAGAATTTTCTAGCTGCCTGTATAGTAATTCTGATCCCTTTTACATTGCGTCATTTCTTACTTGGGTAGAGCTTGCAAAATGTTGATGATTTGATACCATTTGAATATGGCACCCTTTCCAAGAGATTGAAACCCTTTAGCAACCCTCACAAAGTTGTCTTCTTACAAGATTAAGATTGTAAGAGTCATGAACTGCAAAACATACAGTACTTGGACATTTTAGCCAATCACCTGGTTCCCTTTGCTAAGAAACTCAACTTTGGCTAAAAAAGGACATTGATACGACTAGCCTCCAGTCTCCAGAGCTCAAATCCAATCAAACATTTGTGATTGAAACAGAACTAAATGGTCTACATGACCTAGAGCAATTATGGCTTGAGGAATGGTCAGAAATTCCCCTTCAGAAGTGCCAGAACCTCTTGTCACAATGTACTGTAGGAGAGGAGGCATTTTGTCAGTGTACTCCATTACACTAATCCTCAGTTATTAAGGATTAGATAGTATTCTAAAAGTAAGACAAAATATACTATTGTAGGAAAATTCAAGTACAGTGAATTGTTCTTACAGTATTTGCAAAGTACAATATGGTCTAATTTCTTTATAATTTAAAAATAATCATGTCCATTTCTTTTTCAT